TGTGCCGGCCGGTGCCGCGCGACGAGGGTGCGCGCGGGAGCCGGCGTGGGCTGCCCCAGGCTCCCTGCAGGCCCCGGGAGGCGCTGCCGCCGGCCCGCGGGCGCGGTGGGGGGGGACGGGGGCTGGCGCCGGCGCTCGCCCTGCGGGGCTCCCTGCGGTCGCGGGGGCGCGGAGACCCGGCTCCCGCTGGCGCCCCCGAGACGGACCCGTTCCTCCACCGCCTGCGCCCCATGCTCAGCTCCGCCTTCGGCCAGGTAAGGGCCGCGCCCCTCCGGGCGCCGGCGCTCGGGACCCCGCGGCGGCGGCGCGTGCCTGACCCTGCTCGCTCCGCCCGGCCGGTCGGGGCACACCTCGGCGCATCCTGTCCTCCCGCGGCCCTGGCGCTCCGCCACCCCCGGGTCTGATTCAGCACCCTGTGCGCTGTCCGCGCTCCGGGCCTCCTCCCGGCCGCCGCTCGGCGGAGCCAGCCTCGCACCTGCGGGAGCGACCTCCGCTCGTCCTGGGGAGGTTTGCCGGGGTCCTGAGCGACGCCTGCCCGCTCTCCTGCCCTCTGGCGACCCGAAGAGCGAAAGGGCTTGGGGTCTGGGTGCGGCGGGGTTGGGGGGCTGGAGTTCACTGACTGGCTCGCATCGCACTCACCGTTACCTAGAGTGTCCTCAAGGGTCTGGGAAAAGTTAGGGGACGAGAAAGCTGGGGAGGAGAGAGATGTCTGGGCAGGCGTGGAGGCCTGTCCAGAGTACGGCTTCCTCCGGAACTTCGGAGTGTTCTGAGGAAGATGGTTTTCCAGGCATGCCGTCCGGGTGGCTGTGAGGCCACTGCGGGGTGAGACCCCGAAAACCCAAGCCTGAGTCGGTGCGCGTTCTAGGGTCAGGAAGGCCACTCGGAGGTCACGAGGGACTCCTATTGCTCCTCGCAGGCCTTTGCCCGCAGGGATTACAAGTCAGCCAGGCCTTTGCAGACAGCTTCGTTGCGCGGTTCGAGGCTACAGTTGTGGGGTTGGGTCGCTGGGGAGACAGAGGCCCGTGAACTTCTGGGCAAAGCCAGGGTTTCCTAGGGGCCCTTCACTGACTCGAACTCGCGGAGTCAGTCCCGCAGAGGCGCGGCGAGAATGCCAGCTGGCTTCACACGCAGGGTGGGGAGGGGGCGCTGAGCGTTTCTGTGGGGGCATCTAGCGCCAAAGACAGCGCCTGGGGCTCCCGGCCGCCTGCGCGGGGTCGGCACTCCGAGGAGGCCGCGCGTGCTCCGCTCTGCCACCCATCTGCTCGGTCCTCTCCGGAGCGCTGCTCCGCAGTGGCTGACGCAGGTGGGGCCCCGCGGAGCAGGCAGCCGCCCGTGGATGCGGCTTGCACGGGACTGCTGCCGGGATGGGGTGACTGGCCCCCGGCTTTGTTCCCGCGGGGAGCCCTGTCAGCGGTCCACGGAGGGGGCCGGGGCAGTGCCCTCCAGCTGGAGGAGTTAGGGGTTCGGAGGCAGAGAGCCCCGCGAGAGGCAGCCTGGCTAGGTGCCGAGGGGCATGTTCACTGCGGTGGTGCGTGTTACCGGGAGCCGAAGCAGGCTAGGCATGGCCGGTGGGTCTGGACCGGATTCTGACCCGAATGCTGTGTTGTGAGTTGGGGGTGGGGGCGAAGGTCGTGATTCACTCAGTTACCAAGCGTTTCTTGAAGACCCAGGCCGTGGTGAGGCCGCAGGAAGGGAGCAGTGAGAAGGTAGTCGAGATTCGGGCTGTTTTGGAGTCCGCGGCCCAGCAGTTTGGAAGGGCTGATTATTCAGTTTGCCAGTGGTCTGGGGAAAGGACCCTCGCTCCCTCCTCTCGCAGGATCTGCCTGCCCCGGGCCCTGTTCTGAGCTCAGAGCCCTCAGCTCACACGCTGGTCAATCGTTCCCGCTTCCCAGTCAAGTGGAGGCTGTTCTCCAGCCCTGTGTTCTGAAATGTCGCGGGGTCACTCGAGTCACGAGGAGCTGGAAGGTCCCATGAAATATTTAGTACCTCCTCTGGTAGCTCCTGTCTCTCGGAGCTGCAGACTTTTTTTTTTCTCCCCCGCAGTACAGTTTGAGTTTCCCAGTGACACCTCCAAGAGATCCGTGTGAACAGCAAACCACAGCGACCACAGAAGCAGTCTGGGGTCCGAGCCCCAGTCTCCCATGACAGAGCGGAATTAGTCTTTCCTTGCCATCTTCTTTCTGCATTGGACATTCTGTCCTTTGAGACAGGGTGGGGACTAAGAGAAGGCAAAACGGGGTCCCGAATACAGAAAAATTTAGATGGACCCACTTAGGGCAAAATGAATTTTGTTTATACCTCTTCTTACTCATTCATTCATTTATCTATCTGTTTTTTACTTTAAAAAAAAAAAAACACCTTAGGCGAATTGCTTTATCTCATCAAGGCTTTTAGTCGCTTGGAAAAAAAGAGATCACTTACAGTATGTCAGAGAGAATTTGGGAGATTACATGATTTACACATGCAGATCTGCAGAGTTTGGTCCGCTGTGGGCCACGGAGCTAGGGCTGTATCTGTGTGACGATGATGAACATACAGTGCTGCATTCTTTGTCTTTGTAATATAGCAGCAGAGAGCATCAGGATTGGGCACACCAGAGGTATTAAGATAGAGCCTGCACACTTGGGGAAATGGGAATTAAGATTCCTCCAGGGAGAGCCAGGCGCTTCTCTGCTGCCTGCAGGGAGAGAGTGTGGCTTCCCGGCTGAGGTGTGGCGTGGTGGCTGAGGGATCCCGAGCTTCCACCTCTGTCACTGTGTATCTCTGTGACCTTGGCGTCACTTTCTCTCTGTGCCCTTGGTTTCTTCATCCAGAAATGAGACTGAGGAAAAGCTACCTTGCAGGGTTGTGACAAGGCTCACACAAGATTAAGGATAGCAGAGGCCTGGCTCATAGCGAGTGCTGGCTAAAGGGCAGCCTGTGTTAATGTGACTGTGCTCATTAATAGTCATTAATAAACGCTGTGTAAGGGGAGCTGCCTCCGTGCTGGCTGAAGAAGGCTTTTAGGTGAAAGGGCTCGGAGCTCAATGTCAGCGAACTGTCCCCAGCTCCGCCAGCTAAGGGCATGTCACCCAGCTGCCTGGGTGACTGTGTGGTATGAGAGATGACCTTGAGTTAGCAAGACATGGGCATCTTGGTCTTGGGAGGTGATGGTGTGGACACAACTTCTGCTCTCACTCTAAGCAAATGCAAACAGGACCCCCTCCCACAGCCCAGTGTCCTTACAAGACACGAAAGGGAGCACAGTATTCATGAGTGAATGAGTGACTGATGTCACCTGTGTGTGGGCTACTCGTGTCTCCTCTCCTGTGGTATGAAGAGACAGGCCATGGCCGTGAAGGTGCGGATCATATGGGTTCAGCCACATGGAGCCTGTGTTTTGAAAACGAGGACTGAATATCCATTCCTGCCCCACCAGCTCTTTTCTGATGCCTCTCCTGTAAGGCCTGGGATGAGGTCAGCTTGTGGTTTGCATCAGCCATGGATGATAGATGTGGCTGAGTCAGTTGGAGGAGCATCCTCTGGGATGTCTGTCTGGATGTCTGCATCTGCCTCCAGCTGCTTCCGGTGATCAGCGAGGCTACCTGAGACCTCAGTGCAGAGCCCACTACAGAATTATCAGAGTCTGTGCTCCTTATCTCCACAGCAGCCTGGGAGGGTTGGCATCACCGCCCCCCCGTTTTTGAGGGCACGGGCGCTGGAGAGGACAGCACTTGCCAGAGGTCACATAGTAATGGAATGGTGACACCTGCCAGCTGAGTGAGCTGCACCGGACTGGCTGGGAAGTGAAGTCATCAGAAGTGTCCACGGGGCACCCCTCGTGCTGTACCCCAGCTTTCACCCTGAGCGTCTGCTTGTCACCCCCAGTTCATGTGCTGCTGGTAGATCTGATCAAGACCTCAGGCCAGCCCCCTCCTAATCAGGCATAACCAGCGATGGGCTCATCCTTCTCACCCTCTGATCCAATTATCCCACCCTAGAACCTGACTCCGCAGGCCCTGGGGCTCTCAGTGCATAAGGGGAGGGGAGTTACAAAGTGGTCTTCCCTTCTTAGAGGAAAGCCCCACCTCAGCCAGGCTACATTTTCTAGGGAAGGCCAACCTCCTGCCCACTGCCTAGCCCAGTTCAGTGTAAGGAGTCTCCAAAACCCCATAACTGGACACACACACTCCTGGGCCCCTAGCTGACCTTAAGCTTCAATAGTGACAGCCCTACTCTCACCCCAAAGCAGAACAGATTTAAAAAAATTTTTTTAAACATTTATTTATTTAAATGGTGTGTACGCCAGGTGTGGTGGTGCACACCTTTATTCCCAGAACTTTGGAGGCAGAGGCAGGCGGGTCTCTGTGAGTTTGAGGCCAGCCTGGTCTACAAAGTGAGTCCAGCACAGCCAGAGCTACACAGTGAGACCCTGCACCATCAAACAAACAAAAACAAATAAAATAGAATGTTCATGTGTATTCACCCTAGAGTGTATGTGCTCATGCATGTGTATGTGCACGTGAATATGTCCTTGTGCACGTATTGAGCGTGTGCATGTGTGTCTGTGTGTGCAAGTGTGTTGGTGTGTGTGTGCAAGGTTAGAAAACGACTTTTAGGGCTGATTCTCTCCTTCCTCCCTGTGAGTCCCAGGAATCCAGCTCAGGTCGTAAGGTTCAGCAGTAAGCACTTTGACCCGCTGAGCAATCTTGCCCACCCCCAGAATGGGCTTTCTTCAAGCATGTGATTGCTTTTGCTGGCTTCTGTCTCCTGTTTCCAAGGGCAGAGGCATTCCTAGCCAAGGTCGACAAGCCCCTGTTATAGCCGGGACTGGCCTGCAGGGGGCAGGAGTCACCAGGGTTGAGTAAGCGGATAATGAGTGGCTGCTGCGCCTGGCCCTTTAAGATCAGTGCTAGGTAGAGGAAGGGGACAGGTTTTAGGTGCCAGGCACTGAGTGGGGCCTCGTGTGGGTATTGTTTCGCTAACCACCCCTAAAAGCTTACACGGGAGGTGCACTTAGAGTCTAAGAGACAGGATCCAAAAGTCCATTGTGAGTCGGGGAGTCGGGTCGACGGCAGGGTTTGACTGCATTCCACACTCTGAGCCGCTTCCTCAGTGAGTCCTTTATCTTTTTTTTTTTTTTTTTTTTTTTTACTTTTTTACAAGACGTACTTATTCTTATTTTGTGCGTGTGGGTGTTTATGCTGCAGATAAGCATGTGTACCACCCATGTGCCCGGTGCCTTTCAGAGCTCAGAAAAGGGACCTTGGATCCCCTGGGACTGGAGTTACAGAAGGCCCTGAGCAGCCGTGTGGGTGCTGGGAACCAAACCTCGGTCCTCTGCAGGAACAGCCAGTGCCCTGAGCCACCGAGCCCTCTCCCCAGTCCCTCTCGGTGGGTCTTAATGTAAACGACAGGTTCAAGTCCTCTAGCGACAGAGGGTGTCAGCACTCGGCCACCGCAGCCACCCACGCCCACTGCACCCGGGGCTGCAGGCGGCTTTCAGCAGTTCCTGTTTCTCTCAGCAGTTCGTCCGGAATAACTGCTCCTCCCTACCTCTAGCCGCACCTGCTGGGAGGTAAACTCCCCATGCTCCTCCTCCTAGTTGCCAGAGCCAAGCCCATCGCCGGGCCCACAGCGCTGGGCCAACGATACTTCCTTCTTCCACTTGGATAATTACTTACCGGTGCCTATTATGTACCACAGGCCTTCCTGTGTGCGCTCCATCAGCCAGACGGGAAAGTCCCATTTCCTAATGGAGGAAACTGAAGCTCAGGGAAGGAAGGCGATCACAGGCAGAGCCAGGGCTCAACCTCAGACCCCACATCCTTCCCTGCTTACCAGAGGCCACTGAGCCTGACCCTGGACTAGCGGAGTGCTTCCTTCATGCTGTTTTGCATTTCCGTTAGCTGTCTGTTCTTCCCTTCCCAGGCCCCTGGCATCTTCACCCTCTTTCCTGCCCTTTAGTTCTTCCCACTCAGGCTCCTCCCTTTGTCCTCGGGGGAGTGGCCTCACCAGGAGTAGGGCCCAAACAAGGCGTCTAGAAACTGCCTCGGCACAGCCATTCCCTAGTCAGCAGCGGCTCGCAGAAAGCACCGCTGCGCCAAGGTGAAATCAGCCAGCGACCTCCTTTCTAGCCTTCTAGGAGGAATCCTGTGCCACCCACCGGGCAACGTCCCAAGCCATCTTCCCCAGTGAGATTTCTCACCAGACACCCAAACTGGATAAAAGTTTCTGGGAGAGGAAGCAGGTCTGGGCCGCAGTCTGTGGTTGCATCAGGGGCCTGGGCGTGCGTCAACCTCACGGGTAATCTCTAGTGCCCCCTGCTGGGGAAAAGCTGGATGTAAGCAAATATGAATGCTTCTCTGGGTACCTGCCTGCAGCTGCAGCTCTCAAACCCAGGACTTCCGAGGCCTGAGGAACCAGGAAGTTGGAGGGACAAAGAATATCCGGCCATTTGTAAAGTTCCAGCTGTGGGACTTCGAGGACCATTTTTAAAGCGCAGCCTCCTTGCTCTGCACTCCCAACGAAGCCAGCAAAAGACCCTCCTCCGTCAGAATTAGGCAGAGGATGAGAAGGACCTTGGCCGCGTCCTCTGTGCCGGTGCCGCCTTCCTCATGCTCCCCTCAGGGCCAGCTCTTGGCTTCCCAAGGGTCAGGAAGCTTTTGACAGAGCAGAGGGAGCATAAGGAAGACGCTGATTACAGATGGGGTTCAGCTGTGCTGCCAGCCCTGGAGCCTCATTCCATGTCAGCGATGAGGCAAGTGTGAAAAATGGAGCGTAATAGAGACGTCACACGATCTCCCGGGCCCTCGACTGAGAACCACCTTGCTGTCCATCCAGCTGGAAGTGCCAGTGGCTGATGAGGCATGCTTGACCAGCTCAGCGCTCTTCAGAATGAGGAGTACATCTCCCTGGGGGCCCTGTGTGTTCACGCATGTGTATGGTGTGTGTGTGTGTGTGTGTGTGTGTGTGTGTGTGTGTGTGTGTCTGTATGTGCGCGCGCGCGCGCCTCGAGCGCGCACACAGCTTTACAAACTGTGAGGCACCCTGGTTTTGGGGGCCCAAACTAGCCAGCTTTCCCCTTCTGGATCTGCTGGCCTAATTCCCAGCTGCAGCTGCCACCTTGGGTCCCCCTCCCCAGGGCAATCTCCCTGCATATTCGACAGTGTGGAAAGGAGGGGCTGAGGGAAGGGGAGAGAAGCAGGGAAGGGGCACTGCTCTAATGCTCTAATCTGATGTTGATGATCCGAGAGGCTTCCCAGCGCCAATCTACTCTCCAGGGGATTTTTTTCCGGGGCCGTGCACTTTTCCCTTCTGCCTTTGTCTCCTTAAGAAAGTGACCAGAAAGTTAAACCTAGACACACAAACACACATTCAAACCACCAGGAAAAAAAAAAAAAAATCAGCAGGAGCAGCCAGGCAGACGAGCACGCGCGCTGGGGCTTAGCTCTGTCCTAGAGGAAGAGCGGCCCTGGCGGAGAGTCGCTGGGGTTGACAGTGAGCCAGACTGAGGTCTTCTGGCCCCCAGGAGCCTCCTTCATGGACCCAGAGATCGCCAAAGGGGCTGTGTCAGTGTAGGATGGGCAACTGTGTCAAATCACCACTAAGGAGCCTCTCGAGGAAGGTACGTTTTTGGAGCCCCCGAGTCCTGGCGCTGGGGTTGGGGGCGTCTTGCTGCCTACACCTGAGGGCATGGAATGGGTGGGCCTCTGAGGTTCTGTACCCTTCCCAGGGTGTCTGTCCAAAACTGTGTCCCTGTTCCAAATTCAAGATACCCTCTGTTTGCGGATTCTTGTGTTCTAGGCTGGCTCTGAGCTAAAGATAGGGCTTGAAGCTGCCTGGGATGGGGGGTAATGGGGTCCGCGAAAGCCATATTTGGGGTTCACGTAAGAGCTAAGGAAGAAAGCCTGTGACTCTGGGGCTCCAGGGTGTAACAGGAAAAGTGTGCAGCCTTAGGATGTGGGGTGTGCCACCCGAGACTCTACAGAGCAGAGACTCTGCAGAAGCAGGCCCAGGCTCGGAGGGTCTGCCTCCCTCACCGCTGCTCTCTAAGCCGGCGGTTCTCAATTTCCTCGTGCTGCAGCCCTTTAATACAGTTCCTCGTATTGTGGTGACCCCCCCCCATAATTTGTTGCTACTTCATAACTGTAATTTTGCTGGTTATGAATCGTGATGTAAATATTTTTGGAGCTAGATTGCCAGAGGGGTCTCCCCCGACAGGTTGAAAACCAGTGATCTAAGCCTTCAAAACTGTGGGATTTGCAGGGACCATTGCATTAACCAAGCAATTTCTCCTTTTGCTTCTACCCACAATAATGCTTGAGCCAGGTGTGGGAGTGTCAAAGGACCAGGTCATCCAAGAGCCCTTAGAAACAGGGACCCCAAGAGATATGTGGGTCAGGAGTCTACATGAGTGTCGCTCTTCAGGGTGGATTTATTGCTTATACGCTAGGATGAAATTCCTTTGGGAAAGCGAGTGTTTTCTCCCTCGGGTGCCTTTAGGAAGGTCTGGTAGCATCCACGGCGTGCTTGTTTCCGGTGGGAATCTGCCTGTATTGCTAGCCTACAGTCAGGTCATAGAGTGAAAAAGATATCTGCCTCCCGTGTTTCCATTTTCCAAATAAATGTGATTGCCAGTTGAGGGGGCGGGGACTGGAGGGTCAGGTGACCCACCTCAGGTCTTGGATTGGCTGATGGAGCCTTCACTCAGGTCCCATCCCATCTTTTCCATTAGGTTTCTGACCTCTCAATTTAGGACACTTGGGGCTTTTTAGCCTGTCGCCTTTCCTCGTCTGGCTAAGCTGCTCACATCAGATTCCATTTAATCTTCGCTGCTCCTTGGATTGCTCGGAGGGGAGGGCTGATGCTGCCTTCCATTGTGTCTCACGGTCTGTCATTCTCTTAGGGGAGGCTTCTTAGGGCGATTCGGGAAATGGAAGCCGATCGAGGAATTAGAGGATCACCAGCAAATGCCAGCTCAAAGGGTCTTAAGCTTGAGTGTCCTGTGCCTCCTACCATCTTCACTTCCGCTGCTTAAGTCAGACCACATGGGCCTCCTCTTTCTGGCCATATGATCTTGGACAAATCACTTAACTTTCAGAGACTTAGTTCCTTTGCCCATCGATGGGGAGCGCTGGTGCCCACCTGGGTTTCTTTGACCATGTGTGTATCAATGGGATCAAATCCAGAGACTTTCACATCCCACAGGCCTGCTATGTAGCTCTTCACTGCTTGTTTTGTTCTGCCTTTTGGAAACAAGTGCTTGCTCTGAAACCTAGGCCCCAGCCTCTTGAGTATTGTGATCACAGGTGTGAGCCAGCACAGTTTGCTCATAATACTTAAACTTTTTTCTTTCTTTTTTTGTCTCTCTCTCTCTCTCTCTCTCTCTCTGGTTTGGTTTGGTTTTTGTTTTGTTTTGTTGAGACAAGGTTTCACCATGTATCTGTGACCTGTCCTGGAATTCACTCTGTAGACCAGGCTGGCCTCCAACTCACAGATCTCTGCCTCCAAAGTGTTAGGATCAAAGGTGTGCACCACTGCACTCAGCGCCTAATATTTAATGTTCAAAATTATTGTGCTATTTGAAATGCCAGCTGTGTAGCCCTAGACACATGTTAGGATTACCGTTCTCATCGGAGAGAGAAAGGAGCAGGCAGTGGAAGAGATGATTGATGAGTATCACTGCTTTCAGATTCAGCTTTTTGTATTTTGGAGTTGTTTTGTGTGTGTGTGTGTGTGTGTGTGTGTGGTTTTTGTTTTGTTTTGCTTTGCTTTGCTTTGCTTTTTTTTTGACATGAGGATTCTGTTTGTAGCTCAGGCTGGCCTGGAACTCAAGATCCTCCAGGCTTAGCTGATAAATGTTAGAAATATAGCATAGACATGAGCCATCACACCTGGGCAGAATTTACTACCCAGAACCTCATGCATGCTAAGCCTGTGCCTCTACCACTGAGCCACAGGGTATTGGCCAAGGTGCTGAGCCAATTGGATAAGTGATCATAAATCTTAGGAATCATTTCTTTTTCTGGATTATTTAGAACATATCAGACATCTGCCACCTCATTTGCTCTTTGCTACTGAATAGTCTCTTGGCCAGTTTGCAGAGAAGGGAGCTGGGCACAGAGATAAGAATTTCCGAGGTCACTCTGTCGCTAGCAAGCAGAGCTGGGATTTAGAGCCTGCACTGTGTGAAGTCAGAGCTGGCATTTTATGCATGCTTTTTCTTTCTCCCACTGCCAGAAATGTTATTCATAAATTCCAAAATGTGACCTTCGCGATAGTCTAGTCAGACTCCGTACTCTGTGCAGCAAGATGCCCCCTCCTATCTCATTAAAAATACACCCTTTAAGTTCTCCTTGACCATGAGCAGGGAGTTTTGACCTGTGTGCCCTCCACCAGCTTGTATTGTTAGAGAGCCAGAGATCACGACGTTCTCTAGTACACTGGCCTCTCCTGGTTCCAGGCCAGACATTATTGGCCCCTGGCTCGGCTTCTTGAGTGGAAGCTGGGGAGCTGGATATGGTGATAGGTAGCCCGCTTCAGGCCCTGAGCTGGGCAGGACCAGGCTGTCAGGTGCCATCATTGCTGGCTGGGGAAGAACGGCTGCCTCCTGGGGCAACTTGGTGCCAGGCAGAGTTATAATCAAGAGATGCAGTGGAAATTCCCCAGCCACCGCTGGCTTATTCTTCGTGGGAACAAATTCCTCTGTACCCTTCTCGTTTCTGTGCGGATTGGCAGATGTTCCCCACTCCCTCTGGAGCCAGAAGTAAATGCCTTCTGGCTCCCAACATCTCTTAACTTGCTCTACCAATATCATCATTGTCATCATCGTCGTTGCTGTAACTACGGCAACTCCAGTCGTTTGGCTCTCATTGGGTTCTAAACAGTACGCAAAGCACTCCATAGCTGCAGCTCATCCGGTGCTCACAAGAACCTCATGGATACCGATGATTACCCCCCAAGTGTGGGGCACGGGGAGATGAAGAGCCGAGCCGCACAAGATCACACAGCTAGCAAGTGGCAGAGCCAGAGCCTTTCCCAAGATGGTGTACAGAACCAGCACACTAAACCCTCTTAGGATTCTGTGCCACCTGCTCCTCTTCCTCCTCCTCCTCCTCCTCCTTGGGCTGTGCTTCTCCTGAGCCAGCATGTGTGAGATTGAGCCAGAAACGGAAAGTCTGCTTTTCCACAAACATCTTCAATAACATTGTTTCCTAGTCCCCCACTCCCACCCAGTCCCAGGTTTCCCATGAATCCCTTCTGAGAGGGGAGGGCTGTCTGGCCTTTACTAGTTCCATAAGTTCGGAGGTGTGAGTGTGAATGGAGCAGAGATTTGACTAGAATGAACCTTGGTCTGTCAACATGTTCAGAGATCCCCTGAAGCCAACCCTTGAGCCTCGGTCTGAGTCACTGTGCCTCCTTTTGAGGAACTGAAATACTGTTCCTCCCTCTCTAGGTCTAGAAGGGGCTCTGGGTATTTGGAAGGACTTGGGATCGAGTCTCCATCAGCAGCTACCCCAAACCCCTGGAGGAGGGCTTAGGGGAGAAGCACTAGAGGATAGGAGGATGAGAGAGGTCCCAACAGAGCAGGCTGCCCTGTCTGCATGTGCCCGTTGCTTAGCCGGAGGCAGCTAGCCGGAAGAGAGTAGATGGGATGCCAAGTACACAGCTCTGTGTGCCTCAGACGGACAGCTCTCCTGGGAGTCCAGCTACCCCGCCTGCCCTTGGGGAAAGTTCTGCTACAGACTCCCACACTGAAGAGGGGCTGTCCCTCGAAAGGCACAGCACTGGGACCTGGACTCTTGTGAGGCACTGGAGGCCCCGGGTCCAGACACATGTTGTGTCTATATACTGCCGCTGTCCTAAGGGGAAGGTCTGTGGGGCAGAGCTGACTTTTTATAACTGTGTGGGAATCTGCAGGGAGGACGAAAGGCTGGCTGGGGCCCGAGAGCACAGCTATATTCGGTCAGCTGGCAAGGCCCATGCCTCAGTCTCCTGAGGTCAAGGAGGCCAAGCCAGCCTGGGCATGGAGCCAGGGACAGAAGGAGGGTAGGAAAGAAAAACTGCTGGAAGACTGCCCAATCGTGGGCTCACAAACAGGTGGGATCTGGCTACAGGTGGCTCCTGTCCCACTGATGCTTTAGGAGCAGACTTACCACCTGTGCGCTGGCGTGCAGTAGGTAGCACTACCCATCACACAGTGTGCGTCTTGCCCCCATCCCGACCTCTCACAGCTTACCCACCCCCTCTGTCATCCATGGCATCCGTTTGTGACTTGCAGAGGCTGTTTGTCCTCTGTGTAACCAGCTCTGCTCCTTCTCCCCGCCTTCCAGTGGGGCTGGGGGTGGTGGTGGTGGCGGTGAGGCAGCTCCAGCTAGAGCAGGGTCTGAGTCCATCAGGGCTGGGAGACAGGGTGTAGGTCCGAGGGTGGAGCTGGGATGCTGGAGTACCTGGGAGAGGACACGGTTCTACGTGACACCCTTGAGTTAGGGTAGACACCTTCCTCCGCTTCATTCTGAACTGTATGCACACAAGTGTGTGATTCTCTGTATATACGTGTGTCAGCGTGTGTGTCAGAGAGAGGGTGTGTGTGTGCGTGCATGCGTGAGCACTCCAGCACATCCTACTTGAAGCATCACATCTAGCTCTACATGGCACAACTATTTCAGCCAAGGACTGGCGTCTCCTTCGGTTGGATCAATTAGATTCCTGCCCTTGTTCATGTTAAAGCTCTCAGGACATCACCATATGACTCTCAAGGATCTTCTAGAATGGACAGCCAGCCTGGGGCTTGGGAGGGCCCAGGTGAACGACAAGGTGACTCCTCACCCCTCTTTTTATTTGCTTGGTGCTGGCTGAAGATGCGCCAGGAGGAGAAGACCAGCTACATGGTGGTGCAGACAAGTGAAGACGGGCTGGCAGACGGCGGGGACCTTCCAGGACCACTCATGATGCTGGCCCAGAACTGTGCCGTCATGCACAACCTGCTTGGTCCTGCCTGCATCTTTCTCCGAAAGGGTTTTGCTGAGAACAGACAGCTTGTACGTAAGTGGGCCCAGTGCAGCCAGCCAAGCCTGGCTTCACAGGGTGTGGGGGGAAGGGGAGGGGCCTGTGCATAGCAGCCCCCGCGCTCAAACCCCCAACTTATGAATCCGATCCTTGAAGTTCCCCTCTCATGGCTCCAAAGTGAGGCTGTATCCACCCCTGAGAAATAACTCTAGCAGGGGGCTGGAGAGATGGCTTAATGGTTAAGAGCACTGGCGGTTCTTCTAAAGGACCTGGGTTCTGTTCTTATCGCACACTTGGTAGTCACAAGCATCTGTGACTCCATTCCCAAGGGATGCGATGCCCTCTTTTGACCTCGATGGGTACCAGGGCACGTCATACACATATATTCATGCAGACAAAACACTCATACACATACAAAATAAAACAAATCTTTAAAAAAGTTTTAAAAACAAAATAATAAAAGCAGAGGCTGGGGGAAAGGATCTGTGTTTAGTTTCCCCAGCATCCACTAAAAAGCAGAGGCTGGTGATCAGTGCTTAAAATTCCAGTCCTGGGGAGTCAGAGGCAGGACGATCCCCGAAGTTTGTCAGCCAGCCTAAAACCTGTGAGCCTCAGGCCCGAGTGAGAGACCTCGTCCCAAAACATACGGTGGCGCTGGAGAGGTTAAGAGCGCTGGCTGTTCTTCTAGAGGTCCTGGGTTCAATTCCCAGCAACCTCATGACGGCTCACAGCCATCTACAGTGAGATCTGGTGCCCTCTTCTGGTGTGCAGGCACACCTGCAGGCAGAATACTGTATAAATAAATAAATAATAAATAAATCTTAAAATAAGAAACATGCAGTGGATGGGTCAGGAGACAGGCTGGCAAGATGGCTCAGTGGTACTGCTCCTTCAGGGAACCTATGTTCAGTTTCCAGTACTGGTATCAGGCAGCTTAACAATGGATTAACTCCAGCTCCTCAGAGATCTAATGCCATCTTCTGGCCTCTGAGGGCACCTGCACGCATGTGGGCGCACACACATAACCCATCATTGAAAATAATAATACTAGAAAGGTGGAAGGCTCCTAAGGGACAGCATCTAAGGTTGACCCCTGTCCTCCACGCGCACACTTCTACATATGTAATCCCACACGCCTGCGCGAGCACTTGTACCTTCACACACACACACACACACACACACACACACACACACACACACACGCCTGCGTATAGGCACCTGTGTGTACAGGTCTGCACACACACACACACACCTGCACAAGCACTGTTAGATAAATAAGCATGTGCTGTTCTTTGGGAACCGTACAATGTGCCCACAGTGGGGACCGAACCAGGGCTACTCGAAGTGTCTCGGCGCATTGCCTCACAACTCTTATCATCCCTTTTTCGCATGTGGGGAAACTGAGTCTGATGCGGTAGGTAGCACATTTGAGGTCATACCCACAAGGGTCAGAGGCAGGATTCAAACTCGGCCTCATTCTGCAGTTTCTGTGGTCTTACCAGCATTGCTATGTACTTGGATGGTCTCCTGAGAGCCGGGCACAGGGGTGCAGGCCTGTAATCCCAGCACTCAGGGAGGCAGAGGCAGGTGGATCACTGTGTGTTTGAGGCCAGCCTGGTCTATAAAGTTCAGGACAGCCAGGGCTACACAGAGAAACCCTGTCTCAAAAACAAAATAACAAAAATTAAAACAAAACAAAACAGATCATCTCCTAGTATTCTACACTGTGATATCCGAGGTAGAAGCCAGCTACCACATGCAGTTAATGAGGGGAAAAATTCTTTCATTTTATTTTAAATAAAAGCTTTGCTTTTGCTGAGGATTGAGCATGGGGTCTTGAATACGTTAAGCATGTGTTCTATCCTAAACTATACCCCAGCCCTCCAATTCAGATATTGTAGGCATGTGTGGTTAGTGGCTAGCGTACTGAACAGTTGTCACAGGGAATCGAGTCATAAGGCTGTTATGGATACAAACATTTGTAGATTGCATTGATCGAATTTCATATGCCAAGTACATGTATTGAGCAACACACACAAAGGCCCTATGTTGTAGGTCCTGGCAATGACCCATGTTACAATGAGGAGGTTGGTTTAGTGAGCAGGAGTGGCCCTCGGCTAGGAGGTAGCAGCTACAAGCTTTGCACCTTGGTCTGTCTAACTCTGGGTTCTGTGGGCTTCTCCTAACTGCACACACTGGGAAGGAGTAGGTATGTTCCCAAGCCTGCCTTCCCTCCCACTACCGCGGGATGGGTGCCTATCCAGTAGGTAACCCTAACCGCTCCAGAACACAATGATGTTCCTCCACTGCCCTTCATGAAGGGTAGGGACCAGAGGGGGAGCCTGGGGCCAGCCACCAGGGCTGCAGGCCCACTGTGAAGGAGTGCCTTGCTTTGCCTCGCCTCGGAATCTGAGAACACCAAGGGAGTGGAAGGGTCTGCAGAGTGCCCTTCCTCCCAGACCTGCAGAACTCCACCTGAAGAGCAGCAAGCTCCTCAGGGTCTGAGGAGGTGGGAGTGGGGAAAGACGGATTCTGGCTAGGTAGCTGCTCCCTCTGCAGATATTTTACATACTGTGTACGCATGTATAGTGTCAGCTCCCCTTTTCCCTGGGTCCTCACATTTGGGGATTCAAGCAACAGTGCATCAAAAAATCATGTTTTTAAAACTGGCATCTAAGGCTGGAGAGGTGGCTTAGCAGGTAAAAGTGCTTGCTACCGAGCCTGATAACTTGAGTTCAATCCCCAGAACTCACAACGGTGGGGGGCAAAAGCCGACTTCTGCAAGTTGTCTTCTGACCTACCCACGGACACACGAATGCGCGCGCACACACAGTAAATACGTTTTTTTAAAGCTTGCATCTGGGGCTTGAGTAACAGCACTTGCTGCTCTTGCAGATGACCACAAAACTTACCTGGAGCTCACAACTGTCTATAACTCCAGTTCCAGAGGATCTGATGTCCTTTTCAGGTCTCCCAGAGCACCAGGCCTGCAGGTGGTGCACATACATACACACGTGCAAGAAAAACACTCATGCACATCAAATAAAAACAAATCCTAAAAAAAAAAAAATTAAAGAAAAAGCAAATCCTTAAAAAAAAAATAAGAAGTAGGAAATAAAACCTTGTATCTGCCCCGAAAACACACACATTATTTTTTTTTTGTTCTCATTTCCTAACAATACAACAACCAACAATGTAGCAACTATTTTGCATAGCATTTGCATCATATAAATAGAATAAATCATCTCGGGATGATTTGAAGTATACCGGAGGAGGTATGTAAATTATATGCAAAATAGCATGCCATTTTATGTAAAGGACTTAAGCATCTTTGGATTTTGGCGTGCCTGGGGTTTCTGGAATCAATCCCCCACTGTTAGTGAGGAATGACTGGACTCAATTATTTTTTTGCTTACTGGGGATATAATACGTAGAAATCCATCTTTTTGCCACCCAAGAATGTCCAGGAACATATATTTCTGTCTGGGAGCAAGAATGACCCTTGTGCCACATACACTCTGCCAGCCTTTTAAGGGAAAATCCTCACAGTAATGTCACCCGGACAACATCCCTTCAGGCAGCAATTTTCCATCAGCTAGAAGTGTCCCCTGGGAGGACCTGAGAAGACTGTAGCCAGCTCATTCCAGACTCACACACACTGTGAACATTGACATAACCTTTTTCTTTGGACACAGTCCTCAGACTGGGCGGCTGTATCTGGGTGCCACTGTCTCCAGGCCGCCATTGTCTCCATCCTTCTTGGCCCCACTGACTGAAACAACCTTTGTGCAAGGCTGAGATAGATGCCTCACACTCTCTACGGCGTTCCTGTACGTCTGCTTTAATGATATGGGAGCCGGTACCTGCTGTGTAGCCCCCTTAGGGGGCTAGACCTGCCTCATACTCTCCCTACCTGAAGGCAGAGATCTGGAACATGGCACCCATATCTATTCTGTACCAGTCTGTCTCCTTCCTGGGCAGGCCTGGGGTGGCAGCTGTCACCATTAAGGGCCTTCCCTCTGCTTCCTCTGAAGTTGCTTTTTGGAGACGTCTCTGGCAGCAGTTTTAATACCTGGTCACAGGGTTTTGGATTTTTGGGGTTTTTTTGTTTGTTTGTTTGTTTTGACTCCTTGTATGGGTCCTGCTGGAGGCTATGTGCTTTGGAAACTGGCAGCCCCCAGGTCCTATGCTGTGTCCTGTAACACAGCAGGGGTTAGGCATGGGGTCACACTGGGGGAGGGCGGGGCCAGTGCCAAGGAAGCTGGACTCAGCTGCAGCTCTTCCCCATATACCCTGAATCCTTCCTTCTTCTCCTGGGGTTGGCTGTGTGGTCTCTACCTGCTCTCCTCCTGCAGCCCGCCCCCATCTCTCATCTACTGCTTGGCTCCTCCTGGTGTTTTCGGGTGTCTCTTTATTCTGTGGTGACTTCCCTGGCCCTGTTTTATTTACAGGTTTTTACCTCTGGACCAGCTCTGTTCCCAGCTCGTTCTTGAGTCTGGAGAAGGGTGCAGCGCTTTGGTGGCCCAGTCTTTGTGGGGACTGTTGGGTGTGGGACATCTCTGTCAATGCCCTCCTGACTTGAGGACTGCCTGTTTTCCCCTCAAGGTCCACGCAGACCTCTGCTCAGTTCCATCACCTCCCACCTACTTCCTGCTGCCACGGGGATGCCCCAATCGGATGGGCATGTTCTAGGTTTCTCGCTGCTGCTAATGGGACCTGTTCTCTTGTTTCAGGACAGATCATTACGACCAGAGGAGATCGAAGGTAAAGTCAGGCCCTCCCTCGGGAGAGGGCTGCTCAACTCTGCAGGAGTGGGTGGGGTGGGTTTGGGGTTGGTTTGGTTTTTTTTGTTTTGTTTTGTTTTGAGAGAGGGTTTCTCTGTAGTTCTGGCTATCCTGGAACTTGCTCTGTAGACCAGACTGACCTCAAACCCACATAGATTTACCTGCCTCTGCCTCCTGAGTGCTCATGCATCACCATGCTCAGCTGTTTGGGGATTTTTTTTTTTTTTTTAAAGACAGGATTTTTCTACATGCTCTGGCCATCCTGTAATTTGCTATGTAGAATAGCCCAGCCCTGAACTCACAGAGATCCACCTGCCTCTAAGTGTTGGTGGGAGGAGAGGCAGGTCCATCTTGGAACAGTCCCTGGCACAAAGCAGGACACATTTTGCAGAGAGTCTTGGGCAAGAGACAGGCCTAGAGGATGTCCTCCAGGGTGTATCTCTCTGAGCTGGGCCTGGGCTTCTGGTACCTTAGACGGTCTTTGGATCCTATCTCTGACTGCATCTCTGACTGCGTCTGCCCCGCCTCACCTCCACAGAGCTCCGAGAGGCCTTCCGAGAATTTGACAAGGACAAGGATGGCTACATCAACTGCCGGGACCTGGGGAACTGCATGCGCACGATGGGCTACATGCCCACTGAGATGGAGCTCATCGAGCTGTCCCAGCAGATCAATATGAACTGTGAGTCCCTCCGGGTCGCACAGGCCCGGGGTCATCTGTGCTGTCCGGTTCCGTGGCTCCTCTTTTCTGAACCTCAGTTTCCTCCCATGTAAAACAAGGTTGCCCCGAGATGACAGAAATAAGTTAGGGTGTAGGTGAGCAACAGCCTGCAACCTGGTTCCCTGTGAGACTCAGGATGCTGTTAGCATTAGGAGGTCCTGTGTCTGTTTCCAGGTTCTACAGAAACAGGGATCTGGGTTCGAGGCATTTGTTAAATAAGAAAAGGGAAGTGGGTAGGGAAGGGAAGGGACCCACACAGGAAAGACTCACCAGTTGCTGCAGGGGGCACTGGAGTGAAAGCCTCCTCAAGGAGTTGATGTAGAATGTGGACACTGGGGACTGTGGTAGAATGCTTGCCTAGCATGTTCAAGAGCCCTGGGTTTGCTCCTCAGGAATGCATAAACAGGCTTGCTGGCACTTGCCTGGAGCTCACTGATTTGGTGGGAGATGTTGGCACGAAAGCCCCAGGGATCCTCCTGTGTTGGGACTGTGGCAGTCCAGCACCAGCAGTGGGGAGATGGAGACAATAGACTGGAGGGATAGTCCCACAGCTAAGGGTACTAGCTGCTCTTCCAGAGGACTCAGGTTGAATCCCAGGACCCACGTGGCGACCTATAATTGTAATTCCAGAAGAGTCCGACCTCTTCTGGTTTTGTGGGCACCAGGTGTGTACATGGTGTAGAGACATACATGCAGGGTAAAAAAAAAAAAAAAACATACACATAAAACAAAAAATAATAATAAATCTTGAAAAAAAAAAAAGATCAAGGTCATTCTCAGCTACATAGCAAGTTTGAGGCCAGCCTGGGATACATGAGACTGTGTCGATGATGATGATAGTGGTGGAGGTGATGATGATGGCTAGGGAGAAAGCCAACTGGGATGGTATGTACCTGTAATCCCAGCACTGGGGAGGTGGAGAGAGGTGGGGTTTGCTAGCTGAATTAGTGAGGTACTGGTGAGAGACCCTGCTTCAAAAAATATGGTGGAGAGCAATAGAGGAATGTGCCTGACATTGACCCCCAGCCTTGACAGATGTGAATATACCTGCACAGGCATAGGCACGCACACACATACACAAATAAATGCTATGCTGGTGTCCCGAAGCCCTCACCCCTCCAGCCTGGTACTTCCTCCTGCTGCAGTCAGTCCTGATTGAAAGTTGTAGCCAGCAGGCAGGTGCCCTCTCTCCTTCCACCTGATGAAAGTTACTTGGAAGCTGAGTTTGTATTTAGGAAGCTAAAGTACAGTAGAGCACGGGGCAGGTGGGGCGGCGTCCTCCCAGCCTCCCCTCCCAGAGCATCTTGACTTCTCCGTCTCTGAAATTCTTCACCTGCTGCTGTGGCCACATGCTACTTTCTCCTGTTTCCTTTTATCCATTTGGTCACGGGTCCTTTTCCCACACCCTGACCACACTTCCAGTTATTATTATTTTTTTTTGACAAGCCACCTATCTGTCATCGGTCCCCGTTGGCCTCAGTCACACCCTGGACCTGGAGATGGAGGAGACCAGGGAGGCTGGATGATGGGTGGGTTGACTTGATCCCTTCTTTTTGCTGCAGTGGGTGGCCATGTGGATTTTGATGACTTTGTGGAACTAATGGGACCTAAACTCTTGGCGGAGACAGCAGATATGATTGGTGTAAAGGAGCTGAGGGACGCCTTTCGGGAGGTGAGTAGGAGGTGGTGACAGGCGCGGTGGGCACGGTGGGCGGGCTGAATTCCAATCTTGGGATGATTATAAAGAATTCTGACCAAAAAAAAAAAAAAAAAAAAAAGCCAGGCTCTGTGGCTAATGCCTATAATCCCTGCACTCTGGGAGGCAGAGGCAGGCAAGCGTATCTCTGTGAGTTCAAGGCCAGCTTGGTTACAAAGTGAGTCCAGGACAGCCAAGGCTACACAGAGAAACCCTGTCTTGAGAGCCAAAAACAAACCAACTAAAAATCTGAGCCCTGGGTCCTGGTCCCAGACCATGGGAGGAAACTTGGATAGAAAAGAACCCTGGCCAGGGGTCACTGCTGAGCCTCGGGGCTCCCTAACCCTCTCTCCCACGATCTGTCTAGTTTGACACCAATGGCGATGGGGAGATAAGCACCAGTGAGCTGCGGGAGGCCATGAGGAAGCTTCTGGGCCATCAGGTGGGGCATCGAGACATAGAGGAAATTATCCGAGATGTGGACCTCAATGGAGATGGACGAGTGGACTTTGAAGGTAGGCGGGGCCAGAAAATGGATGTGGAACAAGCCGCAGTAGGCAATCACCAACCTGACTCAAGCTTCTGCGTCTTGCTCTTCTTCCTTCCCGCCTTTCTTCCATTTTTATCTGTGTGTGCGCTGATCCGTTCCCATCCCCACCCATACTTTCCTCCCGCTCATTTAGTTCCTCATCCGTCTGGATGTCTGTGCGCTATTTCATCGTCGCTAAAGGCCATCCGTACAGCCATCAATTCGCTCACATATCTGTTTATTCGTGCATCCGTTCCTTCTCCTGCGTGCCTGCCACTGCACCCACCTCAGTGTCTATGCTCCCGTCCACATCTCTCTCTCCGCCCGGGCCTCCATATTTTGTTTTATAGTCACACACTTCCTTCCAGCTGTCTGTACATCTCTCCATATTTCCACTGATCTGTTCGCCTGTTCAGTCATTTCCACATCGGTTCTGTATCCGCCTATTTATACGTCTGCCCTTGCGCCCGTCTGCCCAACTGTCTCTGTCTGTTCACCCACTTGCGCTATCTTCTGAGCCCTGCACTCCTCTGCCTGACCTTAGGCCCCTGGTGCTGGACCACAGCTCACTTCCCCAGCCCCAGCATCTCCGGTCCCCTTGCTCTGAAAGGCTCAAGCTCTGTGAGGCTTTCCTATGGGTAGGCTGTTCTTTGTGCCAGGTGCCTTTCATTTTCTTTTCTGCTTGGTATAAACTGCTTTAATTGCATTGATTGATTGGTTAGTTGGTTGGTTGGTTGACTGATTGGTCGTAGGTGTGTGTTTGCACACACACTCCGTGGAGGGGGTGTGGCAGTGAGAGGACAACCTCCAGGGGTTGGCTCGTTTCGTCCATCAAGTGGCTCCTGGGGCTCAAACCCAGGTCTTCTTTCTTGGCAGCAAGCGCCTTCGCCTCCTCATCCATCTCACCCACCCTTGAGTGAAATTCTGTTCATTTGTCAAGACCCAGGGGTAGGGCCCTCCCAGAGCGCCGCATCCCTCTGCCACAGACTGCCTCCTCTTTTCTGGCCTTCCTATCACTCATTCAGGTCCAGCCCTGGTCCTCACCCTGGACCCAGCGGCTGCCCTGGCTCAACGTTGAAATTTGAGAGCAGAGCAACCCTGCCTTCTTTATCTCAACAGTTCCTACACAATAGTCACCGCACATGCAGAGACGCTTCACTAGACAGCTTTTTTTTTTTTTTTTTCCTTTCATTTTGAGACAGAGAGTTTTACTCCATAGCCCTGGATGGCCTGGAACTCACTGTGTAGATCAGCGGTCCTCAACCTGGGGGTCAAATGGCCCTTCCACAGCAGCTGCGTACCAAAATGTTCTGCGTTCTAGATATTTCCATTATGGTTAATAACAGTAGCAAAGTTACAGTTGCGAGGGAGCAACGAAAATGATTTTATGGCTGAGGATCACCACAATAGGAGGTACTGTATTAAAGGGCCACAGCATTAGGAAGGTTGAGGCCCACTGGTGTAGACGAGGCTGGCCCCAGAATCACAGAGATCCACCAGGCTCTGCCTCCCGAGTGCTGGGATTATATATGTGAGCCAACACACCTGGATAATCGGCAGGCATTTTTTAAAGGAATTGACAAAATTCATGGCCGTCCTTGATTGTATACACGCCATATGCTTTTCACATATTTGTATACCTGCCTCTTTATTCTCATGATGCTATGGCCTGCACTGTTATCACCTCCTGTTAAACATGAGAACGCTGAGGCCTGGAGAAGTAATAAATCTTGGTCAAAGTTGCCTAACTAGAAGCCGGGCATGGTGACTCATCCCTTTAATCCCAGCACTCAGGAGACAGAGGAATGTGGACCTATGTGAGTTCAAGGCCAACCTGGTCTACATAGAGAGTTCCTGGACATTGAGGGCTCCGTAGAGAGACCCTGTCTCAAAACAAACAACGGAATTGCCCAACTATTGGAAAGCAGAGTCAGGGAGATACAGACCAGAGGTGAAGTTTCAGCTGCTGCTTATGGCTGCTTGTTCCTGTGCGTGGCCCCATTCTTGGCACTGTGGGAGATGGAAGGAGACAGTAACCTGTTCATCTCATACTCCAGGAACTTGTCTTCTATGTAGAAAGCCATGTTTTCTGGGCACAAGGTCTCAGGAGGTCTTCTTTGGGAATAGCTTGCCTTCAAGGGAAGAGAGTGTGAGAGAGAACAGAGAGAAGCCTCTACGGTCAGATCTAGACTCTCAGCCAAAGGCTGGAGAGAGGCTCAGGGATGAAGAGCACCTGCCGCTCTGGCAGAGGATCCAAGCTCCCTTGCCAATGTTCACATTCCATGGCCCACAACCGCCTGTAACTCCAGCTCCAGGGCACCCGATGGCCTCTTCTGAACTCACAGCACACACACACACACACACACACACACACACACACACACACATACACACACACACACACACACACACACTTAAAAATAAAGATAAAGCTGGGCGTGGTGGCACACACCTATGGTCCCAGCACTCTGGGAGGCAGAGGCAAGAGGATCACTGTGAGTTCAAGGCCAGCCTTGAATAATAAATAAATAAATAAATAAATAAATAAATAAATAAATAAATAAATAAGTAAATAAGTAAATATGATAACTCTTTTTTGTTGGTTTTGGTTTTTAAAGACAGGGTCTCTTTGTGTAGCCTTGGTTATCCTGGACTCCCTTTGTATACCAGACTGGCCTCGAACTCACTCTGCCTCTGCCTCCCTGAGTGCTGGGATCACAAGCATGCACCACCACACCCAGCTAAAGATAAATCTTGAAAATAAACAAGGGAGAGGGTATTTATCCTGATGAGCTGAAGGTATAAGCCAAGGCAGAACCCTGAATACTGATGCTTATGGCTACTCTGTTAACAATTGTCAAAACTTGGACACAGCCAACGTGTCTCTCAGTAAGTGAACGGATTAAAACAAAACAACAACAAAACCCAAAGCACCCACAGAACTGTGATATACCCTAACTTCGCTGGAAATATCAGGCTGGATGTGACGGGGAGCGATGGGAGGCCACTCCACCAGAGGGGAGCTATGGGGCCAGATTCGCCGACCAGAAGCTCAGAGCTGCCTTACAAAGATGCAGAGTGGGGGCGGGGGACAGCGTAGTCTCGCAGCAGAGGCGATGAGGATGGGGCCTGGTGATGGCCATCCCGTGCTGGCTCCTGACTGCCACTGTCTGTCCCCTCCCAGAGTTTGTCCGGATGATGTCCCGCTGAGGCCGCTGAGGGACTCCTCCAGGACTGCCAACTCCCACAGGCGGGGAGAAGAGCCGAGCTCGCCTCACCCCGCAGTAGCTGCCGAGAGCCCGGAATGTACTGGCGGATGGGGCCTGCCTGCACCCCGGGGAGGTGCCCACCCCGGACCCCCACCCCTCCGCACTGTGAAAGACTCACAACTCCTGCAACTGGAAAAGGGGGCGCCCGCCGGCGAGGAGGCCACAGTGCCAAGCCGGTAGAGGACATGCAAGGCGCCGAGTGCCATGTGCCCAGCCGCTGCTGGCTGGGTGGGCCAGGGAGCTCGCCAGCAGCCCCACACAGCATGTGTGCCCCGGGGCAGAGCCTTTCAGCGCCCTCCTGAGCTCTATGCCCGTCCCAGCTCGCCTAGCCCTTTGATCTCAGAACCAATAAAAAAAAAAAAAAAAAAAAAAAAAAAACGAGAAAGACAGCGAGGCGTTCTTTGCTTTGGGCCTGGTTACAGGATATTCACCTTTCCCCAGAACCTCTTGCACACCCAGAGGTGGATGAATTTTCTTGCCCGACATATGCACATATGCACACATGCATGGCCTTAGTATTCTATACTCAGCAACTTTCATTCTCTGTGTTACATAGGCCAGAAAGGTGGTGTCTTGTTTGTTTGTTTGTTTGTTTGTTTGTTTGTTTGTTTAAACAGAGACTGGGTTTCTCTGTTTAGCCCTGGCTGTCCTAGAGCTCACTCTGTAGACCAGGCTGGCCTTGAACTCAGAGATCTCTGCCTCTGCCTCCAGAGTGCTGGGAGTAAAGGCCTGTGCCACCACCATGTGGGGAATTTAAAAAAAAAAAAAAAAAAAAGATTTATTTATTTTATGTATATGAGTGTTCTGTCTGCATTTACATCTGCCAAAAGTTCACTTTACAGATCAGTTCACTTTACAGATGGTTGTGAGCCACCATGTGGTTGCTGGGAATTGAACTCATGACCTTTGGAAGAGCAGACAGTGCTCTTAATTGCTGAGCCATCTCTCCAGCCCCATGTGGGGAATTTTTAAGAGGGAGACTTCTGTGGTATTTATCGGGGCAGCTGCCCCAAATAAGACTCAGTTCTTTGTTTCTTGACAGAGCCTCTAGCTGGCCTCTCAGTAAGCCAAGAATGACCTTGAACTTTTATTATTATTATTATTAATGAGCACAAGTGTTTTGCCTGCGTATATGCCTCTGCATTGTGTGCATTCCTGGTGCCCACAGAGCCAGAAGAGGAGCCCAGATCCCCTGGAACTGGAGTTACCAGACAATTATAAGCTGCCATATGGGTGCTGGGAATTGAACCCAGGTCCTCTGGAAGAGCAGCCAGTGCTCTATGAGCCATCTCTCTAGCTCTGACCTTGACCTTCTGCTCCTTCACCGTCACCTCAGTAATGCTGGTGTTGCGGGATCTGATAATGACACCTGGTTTATGCAGTGCTGAGGATCAAACCCAGGGCTTCGAGAAAGCCAAGCAAGTACTCTGCCACTTGAGCCAGCAATCTGGCTTCCTTATCCTCTTTTCACACAGAGGACCGGAGAGGGAAGGTTATGTAAGGAGAAGATGAGTGAGTACTGGGGAAGCACCTGGCAAGGGCAGCACCACCTCCGGGAGACTTCAGACTGGTCAGGGAGACAGACGTGGTGGAAACACATTGATCTGATTCCAGAGCGTGACTCTGCAATGAAGGAAACACACAGAGACCCAAAGCAGGGCACAAGGAGGCCTGGCCTGCTCTAGGGAGGTGAGAAATGCTCCTCTCCTTAGGAAGTGATGTCAAGAGCTTTGCTCTGGAGGAAATCCCAGGGTGTGTGATATACAGCTGAGAAGACAGCAGCTGTGTGAGAGCTGGGCCTCAAGTTTGTTTACCATGTGACTTTGGGGAGTTGTGTGTAATGAGAGAACAATAAAGAACAGGGTAAGTACACACTAGGGGCACTGGCTTTTGTATCCTTAGGGACTGTCATTTGCCATGTAATTGTGTGACCTGGCAATGTGGAATAGAGCCACTGCAATCACCGTGTTAGATTCCACAAATGCGGGGTTGAAGGATCTTTTTATTTTGCTTTGTTATTTATTTATCTATCTATCTATTTATTTATTTATTTATTTATTTATTTATTTATTTATTTATTTATTTAGACGAAGGATTTTCTTGTGTAGCCTTGGGTGTCCTGGACTCGATTTATAGATCAGGTTGGCCTCGAACTCACAGAGATCTGCCTACCACTGCCTTCTGGAGTGCTGGGACTACAGATTACAGGTCTGTGCCACCATACCTGGCTTGGGTTGAAGGTTTTTATTTTTTATTTTTTAAAGATTTATTATATATATGTGTGTGTGTGTGTGTGTGTGTGTGTGTGTGTGTGTGTGTGTGTATGAGTGCTCTATCTGCATGTACACCAGCACACCAGAAGAGGGCATCAGATCACAGTACAGATGGTTGTGAGCACCAAGTGGTTGCTGGGAATTGAAGTGAGGACCTCTGGAAGAGGAGCTCTTAATCTCTGAGCCATCTCTCCAGCCCCGGGGCTGAAGGATCTTAAAGGACATACTTGTGAGTAGAAGTTGTCTGGAATCTTAGGCAAGCATGGCGCACCCTCACACAGACATATGGGGGTGTCTAGCACTCTGCAAGCCTTTGTTTCCCTCCTTCAGCACGTTAAGGAATACTCAAGGATTGTTTTTTTAATTACTTGCTTTTGTTTATTTATTTTGTGTGATATGTGTTGACGTGTGTATGAATGGGAGTCAGTTCTCTCCTTCTGCCGTGTGGTTCCTGGCCCTCCAATTCAAGTCCTACAGTTAACAGCAAGGGCCCTCACCCACTGAGCCGTCTCCCCAGCCTTTGAAAGATTTGCTAAGTCACAGATATGGATCCACCTCTGATTCTGATGCCCTGTTTGTGGTAAGGGCAGTGATTTTCCATCCTTAACAAGATCTCAGAAGATTCTGATGCTGACAGTTCGTGGGCCACAGATGGTATGTTCCAGCTGCATAGGCGCAGGTATGTTTCCAGGCACCCGAGGCTGAGAGTAGGGAGGTGGATGGAGCATTCTGTGTCCCCAAGTGTCACAGTGGAGAGAGGACACTTGTTCTCAGACCTGGCAGGAAATGTGGGAAGGCCTGCGGGCCCCAGCCAGATGCCTGGGTAATCTTCATGTCCCAGAGGCCAGCAGGGCTGGGAGCTCCAAATTCTCATAATCCAATTCCGAGACTAAGCTCTTGGCTCCACGCCCCACTCGGCAGGCCTTCAGCCTTGCTTGTTCCCCTACTGGCTTAGCTCTGCCCAGGTACTCCAGATCATTGCTTCTCAGAAATGTAATGGCTCATTGGACAATTTGAAGAGAAAGGGCCTCTGTAGGGTTCTGTCAGCTGGCAGGGGAGGCCTCCAGAAACCTGCCAAGGAGAAAGTGGAGCAGACAATAAGCTGGGACACCTCCATACCTAGTATGTGGCCTCTTAAAACCATAAACACTGCAGCTGTGAGAAAGGGACTTTAGAAAACAGACAGCCCCCCCCCCTCTGCTGAAAGGCCTGTGAGTATTCAGACAAGAAGGCAGAGGCAGACCTTCTCTCTCCCCTGAAGCCTGGGGCTCCTTTCTTGCATCTTAGGATGCTCCTTCCTTGTATCTTAGCTCTGCATTTTTACTCCTCCCACCCAGCAGACTATTTTAAAGATTAGGGTTCCACAACTTCTAGAACCAAGATGCATTTCCCTAGGCACAGGTTTCTTCTGCCACCCAGAGCACTTCTTTAATGCCTCTCCTGAGGGAGCTCTAGGTGTTACCTGGTGCCACAGGCCTATAATCCCAGCACTCAGGAGATGGAGACAGGGAGAATTGTGAATTGGAAGGCAGCCTGAACTATATAATCACACACACTCACACCCACCACACCCACCACACACACACACACACACACACACACACACACACACACACACACGCATACACACAACACACTACTGTTTCTTTCTAATAAATAAAATGCAATTTCAAAATTAAAAGGAAAATGAAAACTGCTAGGGTGTCGCTCAGTGGTTAGAGCTCTTCCTTAACATCTGCAGAGGCCACAGATTCCTCCACCCCCAGTTCATCAAAAACAAACAAACAAAAAGGGCCAGTGAGATGGCTCAGCTTGCAAAGGCACTTGCCACAGAGACGGATAACCTGAGCTCAAACCCTGGGAGAGAACTGACTCCTGAAAATTGTTCTCTGACCCCCCAACCCCCATGTGTGAGATAACACTCCTCTCAGATAAATACATACTTAAAAAAAAAAAGAACTTTCTAAAAACAAGACAAAAAAAGCTGTAAAATAATAAAGCGTATAGGCTAAAAGCACAATAAAAACAAAAATGGAGGAACTGGAGCAATGGCTCAGCAATTAAGAGTTGGTACTCTTTCTAAGAGAGCTGAGTTCAAGTCCCAGAAATGGCTCACAACTGCCTGTAACTCCAGCTCCAGGAGATCTGGTGTCCTCTGCTGGTCTCCACAGACATTGGACTCATGGGTACAAACCAACACACAAACACATACAAAACAGAAACATAAAAAAACAAAAACGAAAAAACCCTACAACTCTTGGGAAAGGCCCTTAGATTACATGGGAAACAGTGTCACTTTACAGGAGCTATTTGAGGTTCAGGGGTAAGGGATTCTGTGGGCACTGAATTGTGAGCACACCTGGTGACTGCTGTTACAGCTTTCACCGTTATTACTGTTGTATCTTCAATTATATTCGCCTCCTCCCAAGTGTCTTCACTCCTCAATGTGATTTCCTTTTGAGGGAAAATGATAACAAATATGACATTCACTCCTAGAGATTTAGTATTGGGAAATATGGTCATGAAATACACTTTTAAAGATTTAGTATTTTTTAAAAAGATTTTATGCATATGGGTGTTTGCCTGCGTGTATGCCTGCTTGGACAGCAAAGCATGGGTGGTACTGTCAGAGGCCAGAAGAGGGTGCTGGAACCCCTGGGACTGAGTCACAGAGGGCTTTGAGCCACCGGGAGGATGCCGGGAAGCAGATACTCTGCAAGAGCAGTGAGTGCTCTTAGCCACTCTCTCCAGCTGCAAGTTTTCCATTTTTAAAATCACCTGTATGTGCATGCGACCATGTGTGCATGTGAGGGGTGGGGAAGTGGGAGCAGGTGTCTGTACATGTGTGAGTGCTGTGCCCACAGGGCCCAGAAGAGGGCATCAGAGGCCCTGGAGCTGGAGGTGCAGTGGGTTGTGAACTGCCTGACCTGGGTGCCAAGGACCAAAACTCAAATCCTTTGCAAGCGTAGCAAACCCTCTTCGGCACTCAGCCATCTCTCCAGCCTCAGTGGAATTAACATCCCTACAGCAACCTTCCACTGATGGTGACACTAATCGCCCAAATCAGGGATCATCCGG